GTGTGTGTGTGTGTGTGTGTGTGTGTGTGTGTGAGGATAAAAACAAGTGGAAACACAACCCTCCAGCTCGTGTACAGTTTCAGGTCCGGGGCTTTTCAAAATTGCTCAACGCAGTTTGTGATAAGTCGCAAAACTTTTCAAACAGGAATATCAGGCGTGACAACAAAGCTGGATATTTTTAAAAAGTTGCTCAGTGACGAATTTAGAGGCTTAAATTACTTACAGAACAGAATTTGACCTTAAAAATTGTTTAATGTTTGGATGCAGTGACCAGATTGTTTTCAGATGTCTGAAAAACCCCCAACGCCTCTCACACACCGGGGCTCTGCAAGATAAGATTTTAGTTTGGATGTCAAAGAAACCCTGACCAAACCTGTGATTTATGCAGTTAGAGCCAGAGTCATGGTTTCATGCAGTTTTATGATGTCCTGCTGACAGAGCCGTAAACTGGACACCTGTGAGCTGAGCGACTCCAGCATCTCGGCCGAGGTTGCGCAGAAGATGGCCAGGTTTCACGGGATGAGGATGCCCTTCAACAAGCAACCAAAGTGGCTGTTTGGAACCATGGACAAGTGAGTCACCTGAGCCCGTACGTCACCGCGTCAGGCAGTGAGCACATGAAAAGTTTCCTCAGTTCAAGTTCTCCCAGATAGCGTGTCACAGCACTGATTACTTATCGGCTTCTGCAGGTGGCCGTCCGCCTATCGCCGTGCACTTCCCCTTGAAATACCTTCAACCTCATGCGTCAAGTGTTTACGAGGTTTACATTGCACAATGTTTGTTGGCGTGTGCTGATAAGGCCGCTGTCTTTTTCCATCAGTATTCCTCATACATGCCTAAATGTCTGGCTGATCGCCTGCTGAGTCCGGCCGTTCGGCTCTTTGACTGATTTTCCCACCACAAAAGATTGACGGGAAAACCTGGGAACTGTTGTCCTGGGAAACACATGGAAGCTGCCAGATGTGATGAGATTATCTGGCCATTCTTTTAGTTTTACCTGTAAAGAGAAAATTACACCCATACAGCAGATGTGGTTAGAATATATTTGAAGTTCACTGAACTGTGGGCCTTACATGCATCTACATATTTGTCTGCTCAAATTGAAATAGCAGCCAACGTGAGCAAATAGCAAAAACACAAAGACATTTTTAGACCAGCTTAAAAATTGGAGAAAAGGTTTTCATTATTTTTAAAAACTATTGTTTATCATTTTTAAAACTAAGCTATCATTGACTAAATGTAACTTCAACACAAGTGTGTTCCATGTCCAACATATCTACTATGACTTTTTCCTCTTTTCATTAATGTGTGTGGATGTAACACTTTGATCAGGTACCTGAGCCAAGTGATGAGGCTGAGCTTCACCAGAGAGGCGCACCTGCGTCGCTTCAACCGCCTGCTCAGCTATAACCTCCCACAGGAGATGGAAATGCTCAGGTATGTTGCTGCAGACACGCAGCTGTAAAACACTGCACACATGACACATGCGTGTTTCCTGACTGTTACGCAAGACTTGCTGGTTTACCACAGGAAACATGCGTGAAAATCTCGGCTACACAGGCGCAGAGGGCAAAGGAAGCACAGCTGAGAGTCTGTAAACATCCATGACTTTATAATGAAGTGACCGCCTTTGTGTTTGTGCAGGTCTCTGCTCGAGTCCACTCATTCTCCCGTGGTCTTCTGCCACAACGACTGTCAGGAAGGTAAAACCTGAAGACGCGAAGTCGCCCTTCATACCATCCATTTCTTTTCCTCTGTTGTAGCAGTGCTAACTTGTGTGTGTTTGCTCCTTTCAGGAAACATCCTGCTGCTGAAAGGCCGCCAGAGCTCAGACAAACAGAAGCTGATGCTCATTGACTTTGAATACAGCAGCTACAACTACAGGTAACATCTGACCTGGGAACCCTCACCAGCTGTTTCTGCATCAGTCCATTGCTGTCTTTATTAATGTCATTACTGTTATTATTGTAGGTTAGCATTAGAAACAAGAAGCAGATCGATAAACTGGATCAGCATCATTAAAAATAAAAATTCAAATGAAATAAAAATATTAGAAATAAAAACACCTCCATGCTTACAGTTTTTTAATGGTTTGGTGAAACTGATGCGCCGAGCACAGCCTGACTCGAGTGCTGAGCTGCTGCGTCACCGTCACTCATCTCCTACCAACCTGTGTCACATTCAGTGCGCTCTAACCAGATTATAACCTGTAATCTGGTTAAAATGGTAAACAAAGATACTAGAATCAGAGCGTAAACAAGAAGAAAAACCGCCACAGTCGGCTTATGGCTGCGTTTTAGTGATATTCCTACACTCGTGCTGTGCGATACGACCAAAACCTCATATCCCGATATAAGACATCTATCATCCGATAACGATATAAATCACACAAATGTAACATTTTCTGTAAATTCTGTGAATCTCGGGCAGCTCGACTTGTGTGAAGTGTTTCCAGCTGGAGTCGAGACTTTTAGCCGACGCATGAAACGACACATTTTTAAACGCAAGTTGTAACGGCCGCCGTTTTCTTTGTGAGTATTTATTACACGGCGTGCTGCGGGGAAAAGCGCTCTAACGTTTGCGTCTAAGGTTTATTTTTTAACACCCGACGGCTCTTTTTTGCTTCTCAGCCGTAAACGCTGCATACTCTTTCACGGGATTTAGTTTATTTTGAAAAGTCTCAACAGGATCTTGAGTTTTATTGTGAAAGGTTAATATGCAAAACAAACAAGCGGACGGTGGAGCCACGCCATTGCTTTACCGGCGCTTGTCCGTCCGTAGTGTGGTCACTAACTTTAATAAATGAATACAGCCACTACAGCGACCATCAAAACAGTTTATTTTGCCACACTACGAAACAAATAGACGTTTTTATATCGTCACCCGATATATATCGTTATATCGAGCGTCCTAACTCACGCCCACCCTAATCTGTTGACATATTAACTGCAGCTGTTATGTAACCAGAACTTGGCAGGCTGCTGAGGGCACACAGGATGAAGGCCAGAGAAAGGCGACGGTGACCCGAAGTAGACGAGACTACAACGATGTGCTTGTGTTTCTGCACCTCTCTGTCTTTATGCGTCGCTCATTTCTGGGAAACACTGCATATTACCCAGAACTCCCTGCTCCTTGCAGCTCCCTTCAGCCTGGCCCCTTTAAGTCCTGCCCGTGTATAACATAGAACACGTGACCCTGTGAGGCACGTGTGCTATAACACATGCACAGGAAGAACACAACAAAGCAAAACATGCTGTGGGTTATTACTTTTTCTCTCTGGAAGCGACAGCAAAGGGTCGAGCTCAGGTCACTGCCTCCCCCGCTGCACGGGGCGGTCCTGCTCCTGATAACAGTGTGGGAAACGGCACTCGGGAATACTTGAGGGACGAATGAGACTGAATCACACACGGGATTACTGCGACTTTTCAGTCACTGCTTGTGGGAGAATCTTATCTTTTTAATTATAACTAAACCAAAACAAGGAACAGCACTGGCTCATAAACGTGCTCTTGTTTCTTTGCCATTCTCTGACCCTGCAGGGGATTCGACATCGGTAACCACTTCTGTGAATGGATGTACGACTACAACTGCGATGAGTTTCCTTTCTTTAAAGTCAGCGCTCAGAACTACCCTTCAAAGGCCCAGCAGGTGTGTAAAATACGTTAGTGGGCTCATTCGATTTCTCTAACGGACTGCTGACTGCCATGAAATGTTTCCTCGTAGCTCCACTTCATTGAGAGCTACCTGCGCGAGTCCGATCGAGGGTTCGACGGCTTGAGCGCAGAGGACCAAATGAAGCTGAAAGAAGAGCTGTACGTGGAGGTGAACAGGTGAGCTTAGGGTACAAAGATGCGTTACCTAACGCAGAGTAAGTCGAAGGATGCTGCAGTGAAAAGCTAAATGGAAGTAGAAAACACTTTGTGTCTTTGTGATGCAGGTTCTCGCTGGCATCTCACTTCTTTTGGGGCTTGTGGTCCATCATCCAGGCCCGGCTGTCCACCATCAAATTTGGATATCTGGTGAGTCTTTGCTTCCTTAACTTGAGTCCTTATTTACTTTACTCAATATCAAAGTTGTTCGGGGCACAGATCTGAACTTCAGCTTTGGTAAAATGTCAAGTGGGGAAGAGGAGGATTTAATTTTAACCAAAGTGAGATACATCGAAACAGGTAGTTCAGGGCTTTCCTGGTCGTCTCCTCTGCTGTCACAAAAGATGCGCAGTGGTCATTAAAAGAGAGAATCATGGAATTTATATGTTTGTTCAGGACGAACAGTGACAGAAGTTACCGTTACCTCTGGTTGGAGTTTGAGCTTCTGCCTGGCTGTGCTCAGCTTCTTTGACAGCCTCGGGTCAGATCGGGCTGCCATGCAGCGGGACGCTGTCGCACCAGCTGGCAGGGCTTTGGTATCCTGACAGGAAGCTGCGCTTGGTGAAAATCCGAAGCTTGCGCAGATTCTGGGATATGTGCTGGTTAAAACGATCCAGACTTAAAGCTCATCAGTGTGCCTTTTAAATAACATTTTCAACACTTAATTCAGATATTAGTGCAAAGTCACGAATGTGAATTTCAAGCAAACTGATGTAACATCTAAAACAAGAAGAAGGAAGAATTCACTGTGCAAAGAACTGATGTTCTATTAGTGTGGCTGAACCCGCAGCACACAGGGTTACATTTGGATTTATTGTTTTTACTTAAAACAAGCCCTTGTTTCCACATATTCATTTGTGCGTACCTGTGTTGCAGGAGTACGCACAGGCCAGGTTTGACGCCTACTTCCAGCAGAAGAAGACCTGGGCTGTGTAAAGGAGGCGAGACGATTCAGTATTCTGACAGCACGTTCAGCCAAAACGTCAAGGACCCACGGGCTGATAAAGTTTCTACGCTTTACTTACACTCCCTGCCTTGCTGGTATTTGCTGGCTGCTGTTGGTGTTGTGTTGACCAAAGCCAAACCTTGATCACGTGGCTAGCAGGTGCTTCGAATATGCCCCACAATCATTGCAGCTCAAAGTTTACACGGCGTAACTGAAGGCCAAAACCCCCCAAAACAAAACAGAGGAAACACATGGACTCGCACTAACCTTCATCGCTGGTCAGAAGTTTGTTTCGGCCCAGTTTGAACCATATCACTAACATGAACGTTCTGAGAGCGTGGCTAGCTCAGAAGTGTTAGCATTGCATCAGTGTGTATGTACAGTATGTGTCTGCTGTGTGGGAAAGAATCAGAACCTCAGCTTTTCTGCCAGAGCTCCCAGTAGCCTGGTTCTGTCTGCTACTGGTGGGCTGATGGATTAACAGGTTCCACTTTCTTCCCACTTGATGTTTGTTTCATTTTCTTTTTTGTGTGTTTGACATTATCTTCAGGCCAGGGCAAACACAGTTATTTTGAATTTCTAAACATGTGAATATTTTTCTGGGGTAGCCTCAACAAGTCGACACGAAAGCTATCGAACGTCAGGTATCTTCCTTACAACAGGACACGTTGTAGCTGACTTACTTATAGTCCTGTGATTTCACTTAACTGTTTAAGGGACAAAGGTGTGGTGGTTTCATGTTATCATTATTATTATGGCTCACTGTGACAGCTGCACACGTTACGTCGTGTTGTCTGATTTAGCCTGGCTGCTAAACCGTCTGTTGGGAACCAGATGTTGTTGCCGCATTGAAGAAAGCTTCACACTGAACACACGACAATGGCTCCTTATTGTGGTGATGGATTCGTTGGTGACGTCTCTGGTGTTTTGGCCCAAGTGCCTGCTGCCATGCTGGCTCGTCATTGTAGCCGTAATCCAGAGTAATGATGCTGACGGTTGCTGCAAAGTCAAACTTGGCATGATTACTTCTTGTAACTGGACTGCTGTTGAAGGGGCATTTAGTTAAGACCAAGAGCGCTCTGTTTCCAAGAGCTGAGTCACTGATGTGAGTCACGTCCAAGCGCACATTATGGCCACTGCTTGAGTGAGGGTAGAAATGCAGCAGACAAACACTGTCCTGTGTACGTCAAGCTTCCCTCTGAGGTGCTACTTTTAGGCGGTGATATAGAGACGTGGCACAAAGAGATCATGCAGACATCCTGAGACCAGCCAAGTTCTACCTCACCCTGATTAGTTGTAATTGCATCATTGCAGTATTTTGCTATTGTATACCAATCAGTGGTGGGGCTTCATTTTTCATGCCTTTAAATGACATTGTGAAAAATGATCTTCCTGTTATTTCTGTACCTCTTCATACTGTAATTGGGCATAGCAGTGCCTGCTAGACTGACAATGACAACAAAGCTTTCCATTAAAAAAAATCAATATACACTATTAATGTAACACAAGGACTCCTGCTGACATCGCTTTCGACCTTGTTACCAAGTCTTAGTATATCGACTTTATTAACCTTTTAACCTCCATCAGGTCGTTGGCCACCCGTCTAGGCTTAGGCGTCAGCGTTGGGTTTAATCAAAGCCCACCCCGCTGTAGACTTTGACCTTTTTGTAGAAAGACAATCCTTCTAACAGGTTTATAGCTTTCAATCCTAAAATGTATGAGACCTGATCTAAATCTAGTTTCTGAAAATGTAAAGGAGGTGTCATCGGCGGTGGTGGTGACTCCAGCCCTCCGTATGAATCCTCACTCTTGTTTTGGAGAAAAGCAATAGGAAAAAAATGGAAATAGTTTTTAATGCATGTCAGTTAAAACGATTATTCTCGCTTCCCTGAATCCCAACTCTTTGGACAACAGTTTAAAGTTTAAACACAAGCGAGGTTTCAGATCATCACTGAGGATTAGTTGTGCCCAAAACAAAAGCTAACCCTAGACTGGTCGAAAGGGACTTGGTGGTTGGGGTCGATGGCTGTCCTTTATGACCTTGTTAACTAGACTATAAGCAGCATCAGTAAGTGTGTGATTGTCCATGATTGTAAAATCTCTGTTCGGATGTGGGCGTTTACCAAAAGCCAGTCCAAAATGTGACCCAAGGATTCTTCTGTTAGATCCTACTTTGACCCCAGATTTGAAAAATGTGATCGTGCTGCTACAAATAAAGTCGTACAGCTACCACAAAGGCGCTGTGGAAGCAGCCAAACTGAAAATGTGACCCTGGCGAATGCTGCGTTTCCCAGTGGAGGGAACCTGTTGATGGGGAAGCTGAACTTTTCTCTACACTAAACATTTGACGGCAGAAGCATGCAGAGGTGTTTGAATGTCTACTGTGGCACTTTTGAGGACAGTTTTAGGAGGTGACGAACTGTGACTTTATTTTACATGCAGGTGTACTTTTGTACAGTTACTATATTTTCTTTTTTTTTAGGTGTAGTGAAATTTTGATACAATGAGACTTAAGGTCTGCGAGCAGTGGATTATACTCGATAAATATTCAAATTCAGAGCGTTACAGTACTTGTTTTTCTGTTTTCTCCATCATTTCTTGTACTCCGTCTTTACTTGAAGTTGTCTTTAATTTGTTGAAATTTGCCCTGACCTTTCATTGCTCTACATGCTGTCTCTCAGTATTGTGATGTTTTGTGTGTTCTTACATTCCATATTGAAAAAACCAACATCACAACGTACAAGTATTTAACATTCTGTACTCGTTACTTTAGGTTTTATGCACATTTTGGACCAAAGGAACTAAAATGAGTCTTTAATTGGTTCTTCTAATCCAACTGTAATTAAACCCTTGCAGGGGAACAAAAACCTTCACTCCTGTTTCTTTTTGGCACTATTCACTAAACTATATAGAAAACATTACTTAACTATAACTAATGAAAACCTTTTACATTACTGTTGTTACTGTGAATGTACTTTGTGTTGATTCAATCCACCTTTTTTATACAACGATGTTGTTTTGTGTGAAGAGCAGCCCCACCTACGCTGTCACGTGGCTCGTAGCGATAACCTTTGCTATCTATGCAGCTATACTGAATGCTTACGTACAGATAACAGCATACTTAAAGGTTTCAGGTGAACTGCAGCGACACAGAAATGACTTTGGCTGTAAATTTACTGCTTTGCACAAATAAAAGTTAAATGAGAAAACAGCTGACTCTGGTGGTTGTTTGGATACGCAGTCTTGGTTAATATGATTGGCACTTGCCAGGACGCGCGGTGCCTCTGAAGCTGTTATGCTGGGTTAAAAATAGCAAAAATTGGTGTCGTGCATGTTAAGTGATCATTCATCAAATTGAATGGAAACCAACACAGTATCTCAGTTTCCTCATTACATCACAACGGCTTAACTGTGTTCTAATTTTCCAGTCCAGTCATGTTGTGGCTCCAGAAGAGCAAGCATTTGGTGATAGTGGGAAGGAAGAGCCAGGTTTAAGGAGGGGGGAGGCGGGGCGATGGGAACAGATAAGAAAATGAACAGAGAAAAGAGGGGCAGAGAGATCATGGATGAAATACCAACCAAAGGAGAGAGCTGACAAAGGTTCATGATATGCAGTAGTTGCACTATGGGAAGTCCCCGAGCCTGTAGAACGGAGGGCTCAGGGTCACCTGATCCAGCCCGAACTCTAAGCTTTATCAAAAGGACAGTTTGAATTATTGAAAGTAGAAAGTGGGTTTTCTCAGTTAGAAGATTGTCAATTGCATCCCAGGAAACATTATTTTTATCCTTTTATATAACTAAAGTGATGTAGCATGAGGTCTTTAAGATATGATGATCATTCACTACTTTATACGTGACTTTGCTTGATTTACTTTTACGTTCTTTTGTGTTCTTCCCGCTTGAATGCTGCAGAGTGTTTGGCACAGTAGGGGCGGGACAGATTAATGTATAATGTTCATTGAGATAATGGAGGCTGAGACGAGGGAGACGAGGGAGACGGTGTAATGTCGCACTGAGAACAGTGATGAGGCATACTTGGCTCAGAGCAGCCCAGCTACAGCCGGACGCACTGCTCAAAATCAAGATCACCTTAGCCAGCGTCAACATGTTGCCAATAAGGGCAGCTCTGTTTGATGACACAGCTACAATGTATCAAATTCCATAACAACGAATTGAGAGTTTGCGGCTTAAAGCAGATCCTACAATTGGAAGTTAGGACAATAAAACCTCTCCATAAATGTGAAACTCAACTGTGTGGTGCTTCTTTACCATTAGTAAGCAGCACTGCAGTTCTGACAGTTGATTATATAAAGTGTTGTGCAACACAGTGGGAGCCTGTTTACATGTGTTTGGTTCATATTATGGTGCGCATCATTTATGGGGGTCAGCTCACTCTCTTTGGAGCATTCATCACCAGAAGTTAGCTCTGTTCTTTGCCCTGATGCAAAATATACACAGCTGACCTACTGCACAACAAATTTAGTTAAGATTAAAAATATGCATCAGAGCCACAAGCTCATAATAACGCAGAGATTTCAGAAGAATTAAACCAGTATCTTTTTTTGAAGTCACTTCAACCAAACAGTTTAAAGTTGGCTTCTGTCTTGGTAGGTCCTAAAGTCAGGAAAACATGGCACCAAAGCATGGAGACGTTTCTTCTTTATATCAGTATTACCAAATCAGCAGTCTGCAAATACTCCAAATGAAGTGAAATGTGATGCGATCTCGCATCAATGGGATTTTTGACATTTTTAACATTTTTACCAAAGAAATGAAAACAGGAAAGGGACACTGCCACCAACATCTTAAAAATATGTCATCCTCTTGCTCCTCGTGTCGTCTCATCTCCTGAACTAAAGGCAGAGCTCAACACATGAAAACATGCATCATTTATTCCCCGGAGTTGACAACAGCAAGTGTCCTAAAAGTCCCCCTCTCTTTTCTCACACTCAGCTCGATTATGTTCTCATGTATGCAAATGTATCCACTACCTTATGTCGTCTAACAGAAGCTAACACCAACAAAAACAGCACCGATTACTGACAGAAAAGATCAGCCTAGCCGCAACAATCAGCCTCATTATTGCTGCCGTGACTCGTTTCACTAAGTTTGAAAGACTCCTGTAGAGTAAATAAAGGCGGGCACTCGTCACCCGAGTGATGAGAGCTTAGAGCTCTCATCATTTTAATTTTGACCTTGAAAGACAGCACTTCATTTACCAAGTTTGAAAATCTTTTCAAAAAGAATTTTCACATTTATTGCATTATATCATGCTTCAGTGCTCAAATAAACTATGTTTGAAGTCATTTATGACTTTTATAGTTTGGTAAACACATTTTCATGAGCTTTATGTCGATGGTCCAGTAATAAGACTTAAAGTTAGGAAGTGAAACCCTTCTCTCTATGTGCAGAAATGTAGATCTTTAAGATTTTTTTAGATTGAACTATAAGAATGAGGACAAATGATGTTTTTTCTGCTGGTAAAGTGTTCGGAGAAATGACTGAAAATTGCTTCTTTGTTAAGTTGTCTGTTATGGATGCAACACAGCTTTACCTCTTCAGTTAGGAGCCTTCTTGTGCTTGAATGATTCACAGGTCAGTGTTAAGTGGGTTAACGAACACAGCATTCCTGTGAAAATGGTCAGGTACAAGGACCGGATTGAAAATGAGTGAAAAAGCAGCCGATGTCTAAATAAAACCTTTGAATCAACAGGTTGCTGCTGCTGTGCATTAACAGAATAAGAGTCTTTTCTGTTCGTAGAATTTATGGTGCCGTCTAACAACAGCAGCATGTTTATTCCTGCCTGTACCAGCGTTGAACGAGGAGGATGCTGGTTCCTCGACATACACCATGTGGTCAAGAAGTCCTCCCTTATTTGTTGTCTTTGGTTCCTCTCCATCCATTTTTTAATCTCCTCTCCTCTTATGATACTTCCTTCAGCTTCTGGAAGGATCAGGCAGCTCTGACATGCCACCATAGTCTAAAGCCTGAAAGTGAAGAATACCATGAAGAAGGGTTGTCACGTGTAGTACACGGCCAGTTCTTGCATGAAATTCCTGCAACTCCTGTAACGTGCTGCAGGATGCGGAGGCTGTAGCTCAGAAGGCAGAGCAGGTCATCTTCACACTGGAAGGTTGGTTGGCCAACCCAAGTTGCTCCAATGCATCCATCTGAGTGTGAATGTTAGATGAAAGCACTTGAGCATAGAAAAGAAGAGCCAAGTGCTATGGCACTTTCAGAGAAGAATCAAATCAAAACATAAAGTGAGAAAATAGAAGGCAGAGTGGAAGCAGTGCAGAGGTGCACCAGGAGACAACCGTCAAGGATAATCACATCTAAAAAACAAAAAATTGAGGAAGACAAAGTTAGAGAGGCGGCAGATTTACTGGATGAAGGATTCCTGGGGCTTTTCAGGGTGATTTATCTGAAATAACTGTGTTAGCATACAGGCCTAGCAACCTGTGTTAAATCTGTTTATTATGTTAAGACCGATGAGGTGTGAGCTGGTGTTCAGCATCTACAGATAGCACGAGCAAAAGGAGGAAATACCACTGTCAGAGCAGCAGGTAACGTTGACCTACATCACTGCACAGCTACAGGTTTTTTGGCCCTGCAGAGTTCTGGCTCTCTTTGCACTGGCTTTGGCTATGAGCTGTAATCATCTGTGTTTTAGGTTTTAATGCTGTTTGTTCAGTTCAGTTTGACTCATACAGCCAAATCACAACAACAGCCGTCTCAAGGTGCTTTGTATTGTAAGGTCGACCCTCCAATGATACATACAGAGAAAAATCCAACAATCATGTGACCCCCTATGAGCAGCACTTTGGTGACAGTGGGAAGGAAAAACTCCCTTTTAACAGGAAGAAACCTCCAGCAGAACCAGGCTCGGGGAGGGGCGGGGCCATCTGCCCCGACTGTATGTGTAATTGAGGCTCACAGTCAGAACCTGGTAGAAGCTGAATTACTGATTAAACTTCTTTACAGGCCCTGAAATTGACTCAAATATCACTTTGAGATGTGAAAATGCAGACATGGAAAACAGGTGAGATTTAACAAACAATGAGAAAACAAAACAAAGTCCCAATGGGCAAAAGTGAAAAGTCCAAAAGGGAGAAAATCCAAAGGCACAAGGAACTGGAGACGGCAGACGGGGCCTGGAAACAGGCGCTCTGACATAGACTAGAGATAAGAAAATAAAAGACAATGACACAGGAAGTGAAAAGAGATGACCAAGCAGGGAATGAAGGACAGTGGATATACTGGACAGAGTGATGAAGATGGAGCTGCCAGGCAGGAGGAAAAGAGGAAGACCTCAAAGGACGCAGTGACGGAGGACATGCAGAGGGTTGGTGTGACAGAGGAGGATGCTGGGATAGGAGGAGATGGCGGCTGATGATCTGCTGTGGCGCCCCCTGAAGGGAGCAGGAGGAAGAAGAAGACTGAAATATGTTCATGTTCTGCTTTGTGATTGTGCAACAACCAGTGTTTGTTAAGTCAAGCATTCCTCAGAATCAGTGTTCAGTGTGTCTGTGTGACATCGCCGTGAAGATAAAGGTTGTTTTTGCATCACGACTCCAAAGAACTCTGTCCCGTCAGCAGCTGAACATTTTTCATACCAGGGATAAAACACACATACTATTGTGGAACTGCAGAAATGAAGCTAAACGTGCGTAGTCAAACGTAAAAACAGAAATGTTAACCAATTGTTTCAACTAATTTTAGTTCATAGAGTCCAGTTTGCTGTGAGGGGCAGAGCAGGAACAGCACCTCCAGTTTCTCTCTTTCTCTAAGAGTAAAGACAGAACAACAGGTCCTGCAGATGTTTCACCCAACACTTTTAAAAAGCTAATTCAGTCACATACCCCTCACATCTCTGCATGTTTACAACAGCAGACTCAGGTGTGATAAGGAAAATAAGTCAAGCGTCAATAATAAATGACATTTTTTCCAGCCAATCACATCTGAGCAGACCTGCTGTCTGTTTGCTTCATACACACAGGAAGTGGCCCTCAGTGAAAAGACGTTCCTGTGGTGTGTGTTGGTAATCTGAAGGTAATAACGAGCAATTATGTCAGTTGGAGGCGTCGTGCACGCTTGGATCTCAGTTCCTGTTTTTGGGCTCTCAATTGCTTTTTTGAACAGACACTAAAATCTTCCTTTTGCTTCGGTCTGTCGGTTAATGATCCCTGCACTCGTGCCTCAGCTCGT